TATATATATATATATATATATATATATATATATAATTAATTGAATAACATAGTTGTTCGCAGTGTTTCTGGGTGGAATTAATAATTTGAATTAATTATTCAGTTAATTGAATAACATAGTTGTTCGCAGTGTTTCTGGGTGGGCCCTAAAGAGTAGAGATTCTCTGCAAAATCATGTAGTTTTTCCACCAGGAAATTTTGATTATTAAAAATTAAGTTGAAATAATATGGGCTGATGTCTTCAACAAAAGCATATACCAACCTTGTAGCTCACAGTAGGTCTGTCTTTAATGGTTTAAAAGTTACTTCTAAAAATCAATTCACCAGTGGAATATATATAAATGGATTTTTTGCTTTTGGAACCTAGTTGTTGCTTTCCATTAATGCCACAGTGCCTGACTGAAATGCATATTAGTTTGGCTTTAATATGCCTGTATGCCTCCACAGACCAAAGGATACGTATATTGCCTATCTTCCTCTTGCTCATGTGCTGGAAATGACGGCTGAGATCTCTTGTGTGACGTACGGCTGCAGGATTGGCTATTCCTCACCACAAACACTGTCTGATCAGGTACTCCACCTCAATTTATTACTGGATCAGATAAATATAGTCACACATTTACACAGATTTATGAGGTTATTACAAAATAGGGAAATTATGTTAATCTCAGATGATTGAATGACTTGTTTTTGCTTTGAAGTCAACCAAAATTAAGAAGGGAAGTAAAGGTGACTGCACCGTGCTGAAACCTTCTCTAATGGCCGCCGTACCTGTAAGTCAGACTCCTCGAAACATTTTCACCTGGTTTCATTCACATCGATCATGTTAAAATCTCACACTCCTGTTTCCTCTGTCAGGAAATAATGGACCGGATCAATAAGAACGTCATGAGTAAAGTGCAGGAGATGAACTGCGTGCAGAGAACCCTGTTCAAACTGGCCTACGACTACAAGCTCGAGCAGATCAAGAAGGGTTATGATGCGCCCCTGTGCAATATGTAAGAGGAGATTAAAATAGGTCTTCGGTTAATCACATTTGCTCTTGTTAATGAGTCTGGAGTTTTAATCGACTTTGTTCCCTCATGTGTTCAGTTTGTTTAAGAAAGTCAGAGCTCTGCTGGGTGGAAACGTGCGGATGATGCTGTCCGGAGGAGCCCCTCTGTCTCCCGCCACTCAGCGCTTCATGAACATCTGCTTCTGCTGTCCTGTTGGTCAGGGTTACGGTCTTACTGAGACCTGTGGAGCGGGAACTATAACTGAGGGTGAGGAGTCCTGCTACATCTGGACATCTTTTCCAGTCTATCTTGCACTGTTTATTTCAATATTACTTGTACAGTCTTATTTTGAACAATCGTCAGAGCTTTGTCTCATGTGCCGTAATGATCATATCATCTTATGTTGTGCAGTTGCTGACTATAGCACAGGACGAGTTGGAGCTCCTCTGATCTGCTGTGAGGTCAAACTCAAAGATTGGGCAGAAGGTTGGTAAATACTACCAGTTTTCCTTATTGTAGATACTTGTTCATATCTTAAATCTTAAAGAAGTACTCCACCAAACATCTCCAAAAAGGACAAAAATAAACACTGAA